AATAAAAAATAGTCCGGATCGTACTTGGATGGGTCACAGCTTAGCCCTACCTACACCCCCTGTAGGAATCGCGCCGCTCGAGCTCTGGTAAGAAGCCGTATCCCAGCTAGAAATACGCCGCTCCACCCCGGCTCGGGCAAGCTACACGCCTACCCGAGTTTGAGCCGCGTCACGCGCTCTCAGCCGCCGTTACACTAGCGCTCGGGATGCTTTCCTGGGCCTTAATTGAATGGCCACCGCTCAACCTTCGGGTTATCCTCAGTTACTCGATCCCGGCACACCTAACCTCAATAATAATTTGACAGGTCCCATAGTATTGCAATTTGATAAAAAAATTAAGAGAATAATTATGAAGATGACATGGATTTGCAATTAAACGTAATCACAAGCGCAGCAAAACCTGAAGTGGTATAAACCAGTCCAGTGGTATTAATTTGAAATACGATGTAAAATAACTCACAAAAACGTAATAAAGAATTTCTTTTTTTTCAACATAACTCGCAACATCTAGAGAAATAGTCACTGGAAAAATGAGAACAAACCTTCTTTGTTATAAAGTAATATTTCCATGTTTGAATCGTCACAGACACGTTCACTGTTTGAAAAAAAAAAAAAAATTGGAGAGTAAATCAGTAATTACAAAAGGGTAACATTGAATACAATTTAAAGATGAAAAATCACAAACTTTCATATATCACTAAAAATTCAATGATATTTCAAATTTTTTAACAGCATTAAGATGAGTATTCCTTAATATGTTTGAATGTTCCATAAAAACATGAATATTGAGTGACAAATTACGTTGATTTTTCCATGAATTGAATATTAAAAAATCTGTTTACTTGATTTTTCCCAATATATATAATTTTTCAGGTAATAATTGAACTGAAATTTATAGTTCGCAATGATTTTTTCATGATATTATGAATTTTCAATGACAAAATTCCTTTGAACTGAAATATGATTTAAAATTTCCTGGAAGAGTAACGAAAATTTGAGCAAAAATTTTGAAATCAATTGAATCAGCTGTATCAAGACAATTCAAAAATGATATTCTTGAGTGATTCACAAAAGGTATTTGTTTTTTTTTCTTTGAAGAATGAAGACACGTGAAATGGACTTGTTTCGATTTTTCTGTATTTTTATTTGCGGCAATGGGACTTTTTTGCGAGATTTTTTGCGGGGAGGAAGATTCCTAGAAACCTTTAAGATTATTCTGGGGAATGATCCAATTCGATTTTGCCCCACCCTCCGCTCGAAACGACACGACGGAGTCGGAGCTGAGGTTCCGGGTTGGAACCTCAGGTACCGGGTTGTGCCGTCTTGGCGTTGCGCTCCAAGCTGGTACCGAGCCGGGATGGAGCGGCGTGACGCGCCGTGAACTCAGATACAGCGTCAATCCGAGGCTGAGTTCTGAGTACCCGAGTTGCGGCTGAATCCCCGGTCAAATTCCTACACGGGACGTGGGGAACTGCTGCCGCTAGGCGCGAATATGGGAAACTAAGGTGCCCATCCAGTCAGTGTGACGGATGAATACAGTAAGGCCCTACAATCGGCCGGCTGTACGACTGGGGTTTGCCATGGTTTCCCTTGCAGTCTTAGCTCGAATGGGGTACATGTGATAAGAGTAAGACGGCCCATGGTAAATGCAGATAAATTAGAAGAAAGAAGTGGGAGAGGCAAGGCAAACGAATGGAGAGCCTATAATACCGTAATGGTAATAGGAAAGAAATATGAATAAAAAAAACTTATGGGTTCAAACTGTATGTGGGTGATTCTACGGTAACTGTGATTCTTGAGATTGACAAATTTCACACAATAAATAGTACCCACGAAGCCAACTATGGCACGTTTATGAGACCTAAACATGCCCTTATAGTGATAGAGCTGTGAACTCACGGTAGCATACTCTATGCGCTTTTTAAATTTGGAAAATTTTGTCGCGCACTATTTTTGTGAAATTTAGCCAATCTTTTTTTTTTCCTGCTGAAAGAAAGAACATTTATTTAACGCTTTTTCAGTGCAAAAAGACGGCGAAATAGAATTTTGCCTCAAATCTCATCTTAGGGCATAAAACATCTAAATTTTGTAGAACTGTATTATTGGGAAAATTTCGCTCTCCTGGCTTCTTTTCCGATATGGAAATATATTGCCGTGGCTTTAATCTATCTTCAACTTTACGATCTCTCCCCAACCCCCCACCCGAAAAAATTTCTAGACGATCACATTTCTCGTAAGCTCCAACTTTGTTTCCTGTTGTTTTTGATCCAGTTGTTTCGATCTTTAGCGTTTTGATTCGTTTACGTTGAATACTAACGTCTGGAATCTCAGGAAAGAAGTTGATGAGTCTCGTGCTCAAGACAGATCTACTTCATTCCTGGAAAATCGGCACATATACAACAGAAAATCGAAAAATTTTTTTTTTACTTATTTATTTTGAGTTCTCCAAACAAAGTTCTCTTTATATTCAATTACTATTTTTAAATAACTTTTGAAACCGTCAAAGTTCCCAAAATGTCATTTCACGATTTAAAATTCATGTATATTTCAAAACTTATCCATGCATATGAAGTTGTTGAAGGAATCCAATGGTTCGTTATTTAACGCTTTGGTTCCGAAAAGTTCACAAATTCATCCAATTTCACATTAAGTCGCGCTAATATTTATAAAAAATTTGCAATAATTCCTAATTGAAATATTACAATTCTTCCGAATCGAAATCAACACTTCCATTAATTTCTCTTGAAGAGAGAAATAAATAAGTAGGACCAAATAACTTCAACTTTTGAATGGTTTGAACTACGCGAGAAATGACCGGGAACGAAGAACGGCGGGAACTAACTTTGGGGGTGCATCGATGCACTTTTATTACCTCGCATTGTAACTGTCTTAATTAATATATGAATATGAGTTTTAATGTATTTGTTTAATGGAGGGGGCATCACCCGATGTCGATGCACCAAGGTACGCCTCGGTATGGACACCTGAACCTTCTACACTGATAGAAAAAATCTCTGACACGACAGAAGTGGTTTCTTGAGACAAGAGAATGGGGTTTTGACCATGAATCTCTTGATACAAGAGATTCTTAGTTTTACCTAATTGAAGTATATTCTGAGAGGAAGATGTGTGCCCTCAGGACCGATTTACTTGATTGGAAACCCTATCACCTCTGTCGAAAATCATGAAAAACAGAATTATCTATAGCGAAAAGTACGAATTCTTCACACAAGAGAATAGAAACTTCATCAGATTGATATTAAATGTAAGCAAGATTACTTTCCGCCAAGAGATTCTTGCCAGCGAGTCTGATCTAATATGGAAAGCATTATGATGCACGCGAAACTTCCTGCTCTTTCCGTCCAATATTTAATAATTTATGCCAAGTTCCCCTATTTCTTTGATCCAAAGTCATGAAGAATTCATTCAGTTAAAACGGCGCGAATGATGTAGTTTCTTGAGCCAAGAACTTGTACTCTACGTGTCAGAGATTTTTTCTATCAGTGTGGTGATAACGCGTTTGGAGACAATTCAAACTGTTGCCACCTACAACACCACAACAATCACGTTATCGTTACATAAAATTATTCTTTTTTTTTCTTTCTTTTTTTCCTTCATTAAATTCCTTCGTATATTCTCGCGAGTAATATCGATTAAAAATGAGACTCGGTTTAAATTGACTCCAATGCAAAATTCCTTTCAGGACGATTCATTTTTTACAAATTAAATTCTTCTTATTCATTTTTATTTCTTCCGTTTTAATCATTTATTTTCTATTCTGCTTTTAAAAATACCGTACGTCTTCAGACGTAATATTAGCATTGAAATTGATAGCAATATCAATAGGAAAAAAATATGTCGAGAGTAACAGTGATATGTAATCTGTCGAATAGCTTATATCACGCTGCTTGTTTATATATAAAATAGTATATTTCTAACCTAGGGAGGGAAAATAAAGGATCCTCAGCCGCCAGTGCAATTACCAGCCGAGCCGAAGCGCTTCGCGGGAGGGAACTCTGACTTTGCGCCTACGCCGAGACGGAAAATCGCGTTCTAACCACAGGAAGTAAAATAAAGGACCCTCAGCCGCGTGCTNGTGGTTAGAACGCGATTTTCCGTCTCGGCGTAGGCGCAAAGTCAGAGTTCCCTCCCGCGAAGCCCTTCGGCTCGGCTGGTAATTGCACTGGCGGCTGAGGATCCTTTATTTTCCCTCCCTAGGTTAGAAATATACTATTCCAAATATCGCCAAAATTTTCCATTAAATATTTATGGTACTTGTAAAAAGTACCAAGAATGCTCAGAATATTAACGGATGGTCAAGTAACCATCCGTTAATATTCTGAGCATTTTTTATTTTTCTAATGATTTTTCCCATTTTGTCTCATTTCGGAGTTTTCGCTTTTCGTATTATTGTCACATATTGCCGGAAGGAGCAAAAAGATACAATGATTAAGATGATAAAAATGAAGAAAGCTATCGAATGTACCTATGCTGCAATCTGCGCGTTCACAAACTTATCAATAGATTCCACCATGCAAGAGCGGAACAATATCGGGTTTATTGCATAGATGTTTAATATATTGAATAGAGAATTTATGTCATAATTTAGTCAATTCCACAATCGTTGCATTATATTGATCACATTATTGCACATATACACTTCTCAAGTAAATATATTGCACACGCATTAACCCAATTGAATTATGCATTAACACGTTTTATTTTCCGAAGTTGGTACCTTGTAAACCTTATGCGCACTCATTATATACACGTTAATATACTGATCAAATTAACATTATATAGGTACTTGGAAAGCGTATGGAGTTTCATCACAAATAATAACCATTCTACCCAGTCATTGGGAAAGTTTTTCTAACATATGTTGTTATTTCATTTAATTACTGAATTCTTGTCCCACTTGATCATTGATGAGCTTGGGCCCCAATGCGAAATATTGCTGTCGAATGAAAATTAACAAAATGGATATCTAAAATTCACAGGGTGATAGAAAGAATCGTCATCGAGGTTTGTTTTGGTTGAAGTTCCGCCGTTCGGGTGGCAATAGCGGGAATCATCCAGCACGGGATCAAGTGACAACATGGAGTGTGCAGGATGTATGTATTTGGCTGGAGAATCTTCAACTTGGCGAGTATACTGAACAATTCATATCCCATGACATACGTGGAAGGGAACTACTATCTCTTGCCCGGAGAGACCTGAAGGAACTCGGAATAATTAAAATTGGTCACGTGAAACGTATACTTCAAGCTATCAACGACCTTAATAACTAAACTTAGCACTTTTTCACTTATGCTCCCTTCAATGTTTTAATTAATATTCGAATTACGAATTCGAACAAAACGCAAGATCAAGGCTGTGTTTGAACTTTCAAAGATGAAAAATAATGGAATTTAAAGTTTTCCAATATTTTTCATAACCACAATTACAAACTCGGAGGAGGTTTTGTCTCCGACGAGAACCAGAAACAGTATTAGACACTTTTGTCAACAAGTATGAACTTTTGATTGGTAGTCATATTTAAAAACGGCCTTGAGTGAGATAGTTATACATCCCTTTACTGTTTGATGTATTTCATTTTTATTTAACCTTCTAATACCGATAAGCCACGAAATACTACGTAACGCCAAAAGAGTTATGCCTTATTAGTGTTAGAGGGTTAATGATCCCATGTGGATGGGGAGAACAATTATTCCTTGTTCAATTGCTATCCTCTCCAATATCTTCTATTATGATACTGTGAAATTCTTTTGCACTTCAAAATTATAGTATTTGAATAAGTATTTCAAAAAACACTCTCTAATTAGTAGCAGTCTTTCGGAGACTTTTTCATCTCTCTTTTGACAATTCGCAATCTACTATTTTTTATTGACTCCCTATCCTATAAAATTACTTCAATTATTCACATGTACGAAAAAGTGATATTTGATAATTTATGTTGTGTGTAAAATACTACTATAGGTTCTACAAGATGTTTACTTTCATTTCTTGATAAATATACAACGTGAAGAAAAAAAAGTAAACATGTTGCAGAGCAGTTGTTATAGACTTTAGTCTTTTTTTACGAATCTCTAGTCGGGTAATTCTCTGTACAAATACCCTAAGACCTGGAAACTCGTCCTATTCTTTGGTGGACACGGAAACTTTTATGAAAATATCCTATCAATTTTGAAAGTCGATGGGCATTTACCAAATTCGTTTTCCACCCGTAATTCTGAAAAATTGTAAATGCGATATAGAATGTTATTCGGTGATGTAGAAATTCAGGTGAAACACACATATGATTCCGGTGCAGTTTCGACATTTTACAATTAAGCAATTACACGTCAAATCCGAACTAAAAAAAATTTCATGTTTCCGATTATCTTCACGATTTTTTTTTCGGAGAAGAAGTACATGAGAGCAAGCTCTCATGAAATTTTTCGAGCGATTTGATTTTTTTTCAGCGAGTTATGATTTTTAAAAAAATTTCGCTTTTTCCACTTGAATTTTGATTGTTTCAGAAAAACGTAAAATTATTAAATTTAATCATTAAGGATCGAATTTCCATTTTCACCCATTTGCAGGTAATTATTAACAAAGCTGCAAAATGAGCGCAATTGAACTCAATTTATTCCGTTTTTCGAGCCTTTATTGCGAAAACAATTTTTTTTATCTGCAATTACTCGAAAACTTTTTTTTTTTATTCGAAATTTTAGGGGTAACTTGGTGACATAATTTTCCAAATTTTCCAAAAATAATCACTTCGTCGATTCACGAAGTTCAACCTTTGCCAGGAACGCGTAGCTATCACTTTTTCGAACCAAACTCAATGATGAAAAAATGAATGAAACAGCCAAACTAACAGAAGATGTATTATCATTGGAATCGATCAAATCAAGAAGTCATTATTGCATGGGAAGAGAAGCGTGGGGGGGGGGGATGATCGTCGGTAGACTGGAATTCCAATTCATTCAAGGCTACTTTGATGTTGCCATGTGGGCCTGCGTCTTCATATGAATTCCCTGTTGCGGAAAAAATTGTCTGCACAAGTTATTTCAACATTTTATGGGAGGAGACACCGTTGAAAAAGTCAAAAAAGAAAACACTTTCATAATTCCAAAACGATTAGAAAATACAATCCGTCGAAAATTCATTGATTATCAAATAAGTCAGGATTCTTAAGCGGTCCCTTCACTATAATTTTGGCCATCAAACGACAATATTCTAGCGAACGAAATATGCGTCACGTGATAATCAGTAAAAGTAAAAGAAACATAGTAAAAAAAAATTGAGTAGTTTTATCATTTTGTTCGATTTTAATTAATCATTCAAATTTCTGCTAATACATGGGCTTTATGACCGCTATTTTGTCCTTTACCCCGCACTCTGTTGACAATGTGCTAGTCAACAAAGGAAGCTATATTTACCTATATTAAACTCTCGAAAATATGGACATGAAGTCTCACTGAGTTTTCAGGTGGATGGTTATGTCCCCAAGTTACCCCTAAAATTTCGGATAAAAAAATAAAATTTTCAACTAATTGCAGATTGAAAAAAAAATTAATGTTTCCATAACGGCTATAAAAATTGAATCAATGGAATTTAATTGCGCTCCTTTTGAAGCTTAATTACCTTCAAATGTGTGAAAATGAAAATTCGATTCCTAATGATTTAATTCAATTATTTCACATTTTTCTCAAACAATCAAAATTCAAGGGGAAAAAGGGAAATTTTCAGAAAAATCATGTACTTCACAAAAAAAAAATCGGCAAAACAATCGGAAACATGACATTTTTTTCCTTTTGGATGTGACGTGAATTGCTCAATTTCTTCACAAATAAGTAAACCGACAATGTCATTGGTGAATATTCTGTTATTGTTTAATGAAACCTGTGATAAATTATCCTGACATAAGTTACGATTTCTCATCTACATCATATTCCGAGCTAAAAATTGGCACCGGGAACACTTCCGCAATTTCTGATTACAGCAGAGTTCCCTTTATTTTCCGCTCCCATTATTTGTCCTCTCTTCTCCTCTGGCATTGTTCTCCCTTAAAAAAGTTCTCCCACTCCTCATGCATTCTGCATCCTTGTTTTCGACGTCATGCTCGTAGAATTGCGCAATGTCTCAGTTACGGGATGATTGCCACATGGTGACAGTCGTAAGTTATGTTCCTTCTCTCCCACTACTACGATTCTCCCTACCCACTACTCCCCTTCCCTCTCCAATGCTCCCCAGAGACGGAGTGGGAGAAATTCCATTATTCGTATTCCACATGAAATTCACTCAAGGAATTCTTTTCCCGAGCCGGGAAAATAAAGGGAACTCCACTGTATTCGCGATGTTAACTGGAAGTGAGGTGGCGCTGATGCTTCAACATGGCCGACATAAAACGTTTCGAATGAAATCAACAAAAGTGATATTAGGGGCAGCTTCGCATTGATATACACAATTGAGGCTTGTCTCTGATTCGATTAATTATGCTCTTCAGTAATAAATCGGTTTTTACTTCATTGATCCCCTTAGGACCTGAAAGTGTGACTGAAAATTTTCAATTGGAAAATTTTATGTCAGCCATCTTGTAAGCTTCAGCGCCGCCATTCGTCAATTTAACATCGCGAATAACTTATGAGATATCGTTGAACGATTTCATATATCATCGTAGGTTATACGGTTTCTTCCAAAAATATTTAAATCACTATTATATGACATACCACGTAACCTGAATACGTGGTTTCTATTGATCATAATTCGGATGGAAAATTCAATCATAGTGACATTGCAAAAACACAATCTACTTGTTCTTCTAAAAAAATAATAATAAAGTTCGTATCGAATGCAGAAAAGACTCTGAATAAGGGGGATTTCGTGTTTTTTTCAAGTGAACGTATGCGGGTGCATGCTCGGATATTGAAACTACTATAGATTAGTCAATTCACATATTTTATTTATGATCAATTCCTCACGAGTACTTAATAACTGTAAGATCGACGAATACGGGATGAGAACAACGAATGCATGCAGTTATGAGAATTTGATGATTATCAAACTAAAATCAAATTCCTTTTCAATTTGAATCCATTGAAAAAATACTTCCATTGCTTGAAGCAATTCCATTAATCCAGGAGAAAACTACAAAATTTTCACTCTAAACCAGAAATGGAAATTCCATTATAGTTGTATTTTTGCAAACTGTTATAAATCTTTTACAAAAAAAAAAACTTTCAACTCATATTCTTCAGTCACTTTGAAGTGTCCTTGATTTCGTCACAGACGAAATATTGCAATTGGGAAAATTCCCGGTAAAGTTCTAACTTCCCATTTTTCAATTTGCTTCATAAGAGTTGACAAAAAGGAAAATAATATTGAAAATCCCCCATCAAGAAAATCGAATATAAATCATTACCTATTAAACGTACAATGAAATCATGAAATGCATATTATTAAACGAAGTAAATGAAGTATCTCGCGGGACTCAAAAATAAATAAGATCATTTATATTTAACAATATCTATGTTCAAAGGAACACATAAGTAAAATTGGCCACCGAATGACAAACACACAGATTATGAAAGCTCCTATAATTAGGGATGTTTAAACTGAACGCACTATGAAAACCACCCACGTGTAACACATCCTATTTTTAGTAATATCTGCCAATTTTTATCGGGGGTGCAGTGGGGGCAAAGGGTTCGGTTTTTTGAGCGGAGTGCGCTTTACGCACAAAAATTGACTTTTCATCACGCTGTGCGAAAAAGTAACTTTTCCACACATTGTGATGAAAAATATCGTTCGATACTCGTGGGAAAAGTGTTTTTTGGCTCGTGGGAGGTTTATAACACGAGCCGAAGACGAGCAAAAAACTCTTTTCTGTACTGCTTCTCATGATTTCTCGTCTGGGAATTGGTATTACATACTTCCCAAACTCGAAAACTTGATAATCACTGCAGAAAAATATTGTTCCTGGGCTGTTGCGATGGGGTTTTTTTACTCGTGTGGCGTTGGCCTCCGAGCCGTAGGCGAGGACTGGCCAACCACACGAGTAAAAAAACCCCATCGCAACAGGCCGGAAAAATACTATTTCCGCACTCGTAACGAAATATACTACCACGCACGACTGCTGTAATTTACCGTACGTTGTCCGGAAAACAACCGTTTTACGTCCGCTAAAACCGCCTCGAAGAGTGAACTTTTTAGGCAGATATTACAAAGAAGAATAACTCTACAGGAATTATGTCTTTGACAATTAATTGTGTGAAGTTTCATTCAATGGATACCTTATTAGGCCAGGAAATCAATAAGAGTTCGTAAAATGATACTTTTTGGTAATGGTATAAAAGGAGATATTGCAGTCCGATAGGAGTACCATAAAAAATGAATGGAGGTGACAAATGTAGAGGATAGCTGCATTTTTCTCTCGAATAATGATGTAATAACTCAAATGTTCTGGGAAAAATGACATTTTATGGGAGCCGCTATATGCGGCGTTTCTTGCCTTTTCCATTAATCGGGAACTTACGTATTCTTTTCTGTCATTTTTCGTTACTCGACAGTGTTCATGCGAACTATTTGTGATATGCTCTAAAAACAAAGAATGGTTGAATGCGATGAGGTCACTACATCCCACGAGTCATGTGCCGGCTTTTCTTTGATTTTATTTACGAGTCGATGTGATGTGATGACTTAGTCACCAACTTTTAATTGTTGAGAAATTTTCATTTTTAACTTATCATTATTAGGAAGAGAACACAGTTCAAGAGACTGCGATCGTATCGTGGACCAAAAACAAGGTTGAAGTTCTCTAGGTATTTTCATATAATTTCGAACATAATCCTGCTTTAAAATGGGATTAATTGAATCTATAATGCACTCTGACAATTCAATCCTCTCCGTTTGCATCATTAGAGAATAAAGTGTCAATTCCCACCCAAAATACGGCTGAATGTTGTTGAACCGTGTGATTACAAAAATTTACAATTTTCTGCCACAACGAGCTATCTTTTTTGAAAAAAAACTAGAAAAAAATATACAAGTTCCCTACTATTCGTGAATTAAAGTGGTCATTAGAATCAAAATTAAGCAGCTCTTGAAATCACAAAAAGAGCTGGCAAAAATGTTTGTAAATATATTTTTCTCGAATAACTTCGATAACTGTTATGAAACGTTCCAGCTGTTACATTTTCAAGAAAAACAACCGAAAGAGAAACCGAATGACGAAAGTTACTACTATTCTGATGAATGAGCCTCAAGTCACCGATCATCATTGACATATGTAATTGCATGAGAAAAACGGAAGCTTCATTCCAAAGGCATAAGCAGCCGTTTGTTTTATTACCTCGTATATCATCTGATAATGAATCTGATGAATGTTCGTTAATAACCTTTTCCTCCTCATCAAGTTGTTACTAGTTATAGATTTTTTCCATCTGAGAGTTTTCGATTCTTGTAATTTTTAGTGCGTGAATATTCGCTAAATTGAAGTAAGATGCGTTTTTAAGTTAATAGATTGGTTGAACTATTGAAATAGCACTTAAAAATATAATTGAACATTTCACGTTTTCTACGACATGGTGGATTTATTTGACTGAATAGCATGTAAATTTGAGAAAGACCATAGGACATTTTGGAAACTAATGAAGGTAACGAAATTTTTTTCAACAACAATTGTGTTCAAATGACGATTGATGATTGTTTAGAAAAAAATAAAAAAATTTACACAACTGCGAACACTAGGGTATACCTCCTTATGACAATTATGTGCTGAACCTGAAGCGCGGTTTTCTAGTCTCAGAATCATTATAAGAACATATTCAGCATAGCCACAGTAGAGAAAAATGAATGGAGAAAACATTAAACAGTAAACAAAAAAATAATGACGTGAGACGAATAAATAATAGGTATTTTAGAGTTAGACTCTCATCGTATACTAGACTGACAAGATTCTCTCGAAGCGATGATTTAAATTTGGGAATTCTGTGATAACCAATATTATTCTTAGTATTCAATTTTGTTTTTGTTTAGCGAAAGATAAAGGAGTTATGTACTCAACTGAATTCAATTGTTTGGTTCTTTTTCATGCTTCGTTCTATCCCATTGTTATTCTAATTATGATCATTGCGATCCATCTAACATTGATAAGATAATCAAACAATTAAATCACTGATGCACTCTACTAATTTTAGGAAATGACAAAGAAAAAATGTTAATTATTAAATAAATTGACTCTTTGAAAACAGACATATTTATTGACTACAATCATTGACCATGACAATGTTTCAAACGATCTAATGTTTTATCTTTTCCTAATATTTCCATCATTTCAGCCACTGCTGGACCATGCTAAAAAAAAGGATCAGTTTGATTAACATCAAATAAGTTATTCCAGCGATTTTTCAATGTTAGTGATTACCTGCAGACCACTCAAAACGGTTCGTAACGATTTCATAAGCGTGGAAAATTTTAGCCCATTATCCTTGGCGAATTTTCTCAAGTAGTCATTCAATTGATCCTTCTCAAAATTACTTGTGTCCAAATTTTGTAATTCAGCATATAGCGTTCTCAGCGGTCCTGATGAGTGAGCAGAAAATTATTTTCAAATTACAGGTAGCATTGTTTTTATAACTTTGTATATTCCATTAGAGGAAAGCATTGGATATAAATAATTGGAGATTATTATTACATAATAATAATCCGATAAAATTTTTAGTCTCCAATTCTCAATTTCTGCCATTTCTTCTATTCATTTTACCAAAAGACAAGGATAGAAATCAAATTTATGGGTTTTCTTTCATTATTCGAAAAAAAATATCGATTTTAAAACTTTACGGAGACATTAGGAAATTAATTTTGTTAGTTCCTTCCGCCCACTTTTTTTTTGCATTTTTTTAATTTCTTCTTGCTGAAATATTGGAATCCGACCATAGGAATGAGAAGTACCGATATCCTTTTACCATATGTAGGGAAAAATAGATTTAAAAAATTTTCAGGAATACATGGAGAGCTTTTTCTATTACCCGGATGAGATTTCGAATGACTTTCGTTTTGTGTTTGTTTTGATCACAAAAAAAAACACTTTTGATTGATCTTTAACATGATTCCTCTTCATTCCATGTTGTAACTTGTGAATAAAGGGAAAAAAATACATAATAAGAATAAGAATGCATAAAATTAAATTAATTTAATTGTGAAGACGGAAATGGAAAGAAAATAAAATAAAATAGCCCAAATTAATCTAGTGACGGGCGCAAAGCGCCCGTTTGCTAGTTTACAGAATTTGACATATACTTAGGCAGAAAATTTTCGCGAAAAAGTATGAAGTTGTTTTGAATGTTCCCAGAAAATAATATTTTTGGTTACTTAGATTATAAACATGTTCGAAAACACATTATTAACAACAAACATGAATTTACAACTAAAATTAATTCATTCGCAGGTAAGTTAACCCAAACGATGTCATGATTGAAAAGGAACAATTACAATCATAATAAAATTATACCAACTCTTATCGTTCGAAATATATCCTGGCTCCAATGTGAGATTTCCATATAATGATCGGTTAGTTTATCTAATTTACTCCAATTTGTTGTTTAAATGATTATTATTTTGGAGAAAAGCTATCTAAATCTATGCACAATCGCAAACAATGGAAGTCCATTCAAATTTTACCTAGAGTTTCAGGATCTTCAATGGTCTTTGATAATGTAGGAGTGACCCATAAAAAAGCTAGATCTGTTGATATCAAATCAGTCAATTTTGTTATCCTATTCCTGGCCCATTCCAGTATAGTAACCATGTGATGTTCATCGAGTTGTAAACTTCCATCGTTCCGCCTAAAGTGGAAGAGTTCTCAGGATATAAAAAAATAGATTCTTCATTGACAAATGTAGCATTCGTGTAAACATTATCTAACCACAAAGGCAATCAATCAATTATCAATCAATTACCTTCTCCAACGAAGGTCAATTATCTTCTACATTAATATTTATCACTACCTGTGCGGCTCAGTGCTGCTCAGACAGAATAAAAAATATCGAAATCCAGGTTTTTTCTTAGATTTTTTTGCTTCCGAATGGAAACTTTTTTTTTTTTTTATGCTTATTTTATATCGCTTCGAGTCTGATGAGACTATATGGCGATTGATCAAGACTTTAAAAATGGTTAGATCTCACCATTCTACCCGGCCAGGAATCGAACCTGGAACCTATCCGTTGTGAGGGAATGGAAACTTTGTAATCGTTGAGTTTAACGATGTTCTAATTTTGCGTGGCTGTATGTATTTACGAATTTTTTGCAAACTTGTTATAAATCTTGATGAAAAAAAAGAAAAGTAGAAACTAAAAAACTGAAATTTTATCCCATAACGGGTATTGTCTGAAAGCATTCCTGGACGAAATTTTTGCTCAATCAAGAAATTTCTTTCTCAAAGTTTTCCTTATGATAATAAATAAATATCCCTTATGATAGTACCTATCACATCAAGTCGCAATATACTTATGTAACTACAAATAGCTTGTTCCTCGAAGATCCAGTTAAAGTCATTTCTGGGGAGTTTTCCCAACTTAGAAAAAAAATGGAAGTTTCCTCAAGTTTTTTTGGGACAATCCTAAATTTTCTCAAATTTGTAGAAAGAATCTGACCGTTTTCTATAATATTGCCTTATTTTATAGAAAAACATGGAAATTTTCTGAAAGTTCTTGAAATTTGTGGAAGTTTCTACGGTACATTCGCTCGTATGCAGTTTACATAATAGACTAATTAACAGTGACAATGTCATTGAAAACGTCTACCATTCTTGCGTAAAACGCAAACAAAAGACGTGTATGAAATTTATTATATGTATAAGTTAAGAAAAAGATAACTAGCTAACTTACCTATCTGGGAATGCTTCCAAAACTAAGTTTTGTAATTTTTGCACCAAAAATTTCATGTTATTTGAGTCATCGAGTAAATTGGAGAGTTCTAATTTGTTGAATTCCATTAACTTATCATGGTGAAGTCTTGAGGAACTCGTGTTGATTCTATCGATGTCAAACTACAGAACAATCAATTATTTGCATTCCCTCTCCTACCAATTCCAAAATTAAATATTACCTGTTTTATGAGGTCTACGTAAGTATGACATACATCTTGGAATCCGTCTTCTCGTCTGAATCCTCCTCCAGCATATGTAATGTAATTTAACAAGGCCAATGGAAAGATACCATCTTTCCGAAATGATTCGACTTTTATATCCCCCTGCCTCTTTGACAATTTGGTTCCATTGGCATTCAAAATCAGGGGTAAGTGTCCAAATTGAGGAGGTGTCCAACCAAACGCACTAGAATTCATTTGGCAATATGATCGAGGAGCAGAGTGCAAAATTTTGAATCAATTTTCACAATAGTAAAATTATTATTCTCCAAAAATTTAATTTTTGCAAGCTTCACACGATATATGACGGGAAAAGAATTCCCCAATGAAAAAAAACGTTCAAATTGAATGAAATAATTAATTTTCAAGCATCGATGGAGTTTTCTATTCTTTACTCACTAATACATTTCCAAGTGTTTTGGTGTCGATATCTGCCATTCAACGCCTCGTAAAACATGTGATATTTCCATGAAGTGATCATCAACAACATTTGCGAAATGGTAAGTGGGGAATCCATCAGATTTAATAATTACTGGGTCACCTTCTGCCTGGCTTATTGACACATCACCATAAACCAGGTCGTGGAAAGTCTTTAGTGTGTCTGGAAGCTGTTGAAGACCGATATTTTAAATAGCAATAGGAGATCAACAGCTAGATTATCTGAGACTCGAATACTAGTCTAATTTGATATAATCCAAGTATTAAAGCATTTCTATGCAGAGATGAATGAGATTCTATTCCGAGGGAAATAATTTTCCAGGAATAACAAGGAAAAGACACTGAAACAATTTTTCAAGCCATAATTTGATCGATGCTGCAAATGATTTTTTCAACAACCCTGAAAAAATAGACTTTTGAAAGAAAATTGGAAAAACAATACGCTGTAACTCAACAGGGAATAGTGCGATTCCCATCATATTCTGATAGAATCAAGGGGTTATTTTTTAAGCGATCATTGAAAAATCGATTTTATGAAAATTATCAAGATTTTCGAAACTATGACAAATTGAATTTTAATTGGTGGGAATGGATAGAAGTTATTGATATCTATATAAGGAGAAAAACTGTAAAAAAAACCACACACAATATATATATACAGACACCATGTCAAAATCACATATTCGGACTTTTTAGACCATATTTGGTTACCTTAACACAAAAAATTGTAAACTTAAATTTGAACGAATACAAAGTGTCCACTCGGAAGCAAAAATAGTACATTTCGATACTAGGGCGCATGAACAATTTTCTGGCGAATATGAGTTTGCAGTACGAGCCGAAGGCGAGTGATGCAAATCATATGAGTCAGAAAATTTTTCTGCGCCCGTGTGATGAACAATATTTTTTGTCACTCTGGTCGTACACCGCAGGCACACCTGTCTAAAACACTGCCTACGACCAGAGTGACAAAAATGCAATTATTCATTTGTTTACAATTTTTAAATGAAATTGTTTCAAAGCGTTGAAGAATATGGAAATTAATTGTCATCGCAATGTTATCACTAAAAACGAGAGTTTATATGGACATCTAATAAAACAAGGATATTTGAATTTTCTTTTTAAAAGAAGGGTGTCTCAAAATTCATGTGAAATTTTGTTGTTCACATCCATTTCTAAGTCTTACGGAGCTCCCAAATCATTTTATTTTTCTTCCAATGTGAACTACTTCATGTTATTTGTCCTTTTTGATGTATTCAGACTATTCATACAGCTGTCAAGAGAAGGAAATCGTGAGATTTCAGACTATTTCTCATATGAATATTGAGATACCTTAGTCTTAATGGGAATTTGGAAATACCCTTGTTTTAAAAATAAAATTGAAATACCCTGGTTATAGTAGGAAACGTCGATATAGCGTTCCACATTTTGTGATGCTACAAGATATTGTTGGATAGAATTTTGGAATAGATAGGAGGAAATCCGGGAGCATCAACTTCAAGTGTACAACAGCCTTAGAAAACGAAATTTTAATCAATTTTGTTTTTTGTAATGAAATATAGCAATTTTTAGGTTAAGATTCGACGGGTCGCCCAGTGTTACGGAGCAGTTGAATTTCCAAAATTGACGTGAGTGAACGGAATATATTAGTAATAATGCTACAACAAAATTTCTGGTCTGAATTACTATGAATTTCCTACCTTAAACCTAATACAATGAGGCTCTTGTCTACTGAGTTTACTTGTAATAACATCCTTCTCGAGATGACGACACCGGTTATCGTACTTCGGAATTTCTCCTGCTTTGATTGCTTCTTTCCTCAGCATTTCTAATCTACGCTCTGAGCAGAAGCAATAATAGGCTGAACCATTTTCCAAGAGCTTTTCAACTTGTTCGCTAGAGCACATCCGTAAAAAACATGGAAATGAGAATTATTAAGGGGGTACGTGGGTGAAATTTAAACGTCGATGCCGTGCATCGACCCATGAAAAAATGAATGACTCTATTTGAAATTGATTATTTGCAAAACTATGGAATTTAACCCAACTGAACAAATAACAACGAAAAAAGGAATACTGTGGCTTCAATTACATATCGCTTTCATAATTTTCCGTGGATTAGAAGTCATTACATTCCAGTTGTATTAAGCGTACTCCACGCTTGGAAACAAAAGGGCCCCGTCCGTGAGGGGTTAAATGTTCGTTACACTCCAAAGAATAAAGGTAAGCATCCGTTTTCCTTTATTCAATAGCTTATGAACTAGTGGATTGGGCTGTTGGTCGCTCGCTGCGCTCGCTCCCATTGCGGGTGGGTTGGTAGCGGATGTATTCATGTGGGTCTGACCCGTTGGACGGGTCGCACCAACAACTTCCCGATATTATTATTCCTCCCATTTTGACTAAAAGAATCCTTTTCAACTCTCAATACTCTGTTTATTTATTCATGAGAAACCCTTGTCTGAGCGATTTTCAAACTTTTCTCCAGGGAATTTTGGAAAAACCACTGGAAAAATTACTGGAGTTTCAGAAAATCCTAGATAAATCACTGGAGTGATTGACTCTAGTGATATCCTGATGTTGACAATGCCAATCACGGCATTTAGACAGGAGAAATACTTATCTTAGCCATTTTCAAACATTTCTCCAGGAAAATTTGGAAGAACTACTGGAGCGAATCACTCCAAAATCTAATCAGGTCTAAGTTACATGAAGACGTATCGATTG